ACGGAATTGGAATCGAGAAGCGGCGAAGATAACCGAGAAATGTCATGCGATGCAACAAGCTACTCGCAAGGCTTTCAATGTAATGGTAAATAAAAAACGGAAAGAAGATATTGATAATATTTATAACGTATGTATAATATTTGTTAATGTATGTATAAAAGGTACTTATGTATGTATAAAATAAAATAAGAAAATAATTAAATTTGCAAAAGCTGTCAAGATTAATAAGGAATCCCGGCAACTGAAATTAATACTAAACAAAAAAATGAAGACGTTCAAAGGAAGATTCACCTGATTCAAGAAATTAAAGCAATTCAAACGATCGAAAAAAGAGTTATGATTCTATACAAATAAAGAGTTATGATTCTATGGAATCGAGTGGTCTAGGACTTTTTGTGAAATATTTTTAACTCAGGTCCATTTAATATCATATTATGCAAACTAAATTTTACAAACTTAAAAGAAAATGAAATTTTTTATGTTATAGCTAAAAGAAGAATTGCTATCTATGAAAATAAAACAGAATAAGGAAACGGAACGTTGAAATATCGCCATTTGATAAGAACGCGAGAGAAGGAAGAACTTTATGAAAAACAATCAATGAATTCTCAAGTAATACAAATTAAATAACAGTTTTAATAGAAAGTTAACGGTAAATTAAATAATGTTTATATTTCTTCATGCAGTTAACGTGTAATAGACAAGCAACATGTTTTTGATAGCTATTGTTATATTTTTCCAAAATTGAATTCCTGCGGAAATTATTAAAGAAACGAAAGAAATGGGGAAACTAGAAGATGTCCACGATAATTGACGATAATCGAAAATAATATTATATAAATACATAACAAATATTTTAATTTTTGACCAAAATATTTCTAGTTTTATATTCAAAAAATAAGATAAAATAAATTTTAAATTACATAGAAACATATAAATTTATTTTTTTGGATTCAAAATTGTAAATTAATCAAATTGTCAATGAGAGTTGCAGCCGTTGTTAGCACCGAAATATTAATAATTATTATGATCGTAATAATTATTATTATAATAATTATTATTATAATTATTATTATAAATTTACATAAGAAATAATTTTTAACACAAAAATAAAAAAAGTAGATAGGTCAAAAAACGAGCAAAAGAAAGATGTAATTTAAAAAAATATATATAATATTTCACTTTACATCACAAATTAATATCGTATAGATAACATGGAACGTTTCGACTATACTAAGTCTTCATCAGCTAAATTAAATCTCAAAAATTTAAAATTAATACAGAATACTTTAATGTTGAATGAACTCCAAGAATAAAATTATAAAGTATTCATATCGCAATAAAGATAATATAAATCAAAAGATATTAAAAAATTACAAAGTATGTAATCATGTCGCAATAAAAATCATACAAATCATCTAAAGATATCAAGACTATTTCATCGCTGGACAGCGAGAAAAAGTTTAATAATTTTTAAAATATAAATAATTCTTTAGTTATATAAAAAAACTCAAATAAAAAAATCATATATCTAAAAATACTTTGAGAGTCGAAATTTACATGATTCGTGTCCCGGTCTTTCGTATTTTTTTATAGTAATAAATTTGTTCAAAAACATATGCAAAAAATACATTAATTTATTAAATTTAGAATACTTATATTTTAACATATTGGAATAAACAGTTTTTTAAATTCATTCGTTTATTTAATTTTATTCAATATGTATGAGCTCCAGTATTTTGCGGATATAAGGCAATAAAAACAGCAACAATTAATATTATTATGTATTATATAATTATATATAATTATGCAATTAAGAACACGCAGCTAGACATGTTTGTTGCTGTGTTGGAAAAATACTATATATGTATTATATGAATATTACATTAGCTCCATATGTGAAAAACAATAATTTTTATAGCAATTATATTCCATAATAATAATAAATTATTTATTTAATAAAGTTAAAAAAAACTATAAGACACGATCGTTTTGTCTCTTCTCTGAAAATTGTTGTGTGTCACTGTTAATACTATTTTATGAATTATCTCTGATGTTTCGTAATGTTAGCTAGATGTTCTCTTGTAAGAGAAATTATTTTGTAGCGCAATTCTCGACTTTACTCAACTCATTTTGCTTTAAAAAAAAATGATAAAAATGACATAGACAATTCTTTTTTATCCCTCCTACAATTACCATCTAATTTTTCCATTACTATCTTTTGATTTGCGAAACCAGACGTGAGGCTAACGTTGAGACGGAGACAATCCACAAAATAGTGTGTTTTTGGGCAGCTGGAATGAAGTTCTATTGTAAGGGAATAAATTTCTAGACGGATAGAAAAAATATATGCAAAGAAATAGGGATTATGTAAAAAAATAAACAAAAGTCTATAAATTAAGAATATTTTAGCTATACAATATCAGTTAAAAGTATCAAACAATCAGCCAAAGAAAAGCTAATATCAGCCAATATTATTTAAAAAATTTTAATGATATTAACTCATAAATACGCCTTAAGATCAACTATAAAAAACAAAATAACAAATAATTTAGCTTATAATAATTTTATGTAGGAAACAACTATATTTTTTTGCAGTTTTAGATCAAAACTTTTAAATAAATTATTATATGACGGATTCAACAATTCCGTATCATTTTGTATATTCAGTCTATTTTTTTTTGTTTTTTTATATAGATTGCTTCCGAAATTAACCTCTTATTAAATCCTTGTTCCTTTATTATTTAAAATTCAATCTATATAAAAAAAGCAAAAAAATGAACTAAATTTTCAAAATAATACGGAATTATTGGATTCATTATATAATAATTTATTTAAGAATAAATGATGTTTCCATGATTTATAAGTTATAAAAATTTGTATCGTCAATTTTTAAATTGATAATTGTTTCAGTTTCTTTGCTGTATAAGTTATAATTTTGTATAGTCGATTTGTATGTTAGTATTTATTATATTTAATATTTAGACTTACAAACAATGTGAATACGAAACGTCCTCTCATACACTCTCAAGACATAGTTATAATCACGTTTATAATGGATCATCGTTATGCTGAGTATAATGTAAGGTTATCTAACTGATATAATTGATTTTAATACTGTAACTATGAATAGTATTTAAAAAATTTTACTTATTAACTTGATTTTAGCTAAGTGACTGAATTAATGATTGGGTATTCAGCTAAATACAACAAACAATTATGAAGTTCTTCATTTTGGACAACAGCCTAACGATGATTCATTACTGTATGCACCTATATCGTTACAACAAATTAAATTGACTCCGAAAATGTTTTTGACGAACTGAGGATCGAATCTTATGGTCAAAACGTCTGCAATTGGTGATTGACATATATATTATATTTGATTACACACGTACAATTGTGTTATTGACTCTCATTGGCATTATATACTTTTATTGATTTAATCTCTGGAGCCTTTTTCAATTTTTATTTGTCACTGAAAAAAGCCTTCATAAAATCGGATTATGAAAGAAAAAATATTAATCTTTTTATAATTTTGAAATAGATTTATATTTCTTTTATTAATTTTTTAGATAAAGATTATGTATTCGTATATAATAAAATATAAAATGAAATATTTTTACTGCGTATATGCTTCTTAAATGATGGCAATTTAAATTTTATCGAATCATCGCATTATATAAAGCATATCGCATGCGTGATCAAATTGCGATAAAAAATTGTCAGACAAATATAGTTTCTCCAAATTATACATATAAGTAGTATAGATATAAAGGAATGAGACATTTGCTTTCGAGGTAATATACAATTTGTTACATTTTTAAATGATACACTCTGATTTGATTATCTATAGATTAATAAAGATTATCAAGGTCAGTTAAATCTTTACCTTATAACTCAAAGTTTCATAAATGTTAAACCTTCTTTCTTTATACCTAATACTAGGTATAGGTAGCAATTTACGATAATATCAGCCTTGATACATAGCATTGACTTGACAACATTTCTGTCTGAGTGCATTCTTGGAATACTATGAAATTTTATGTGAGACTGCGGAAAAAGTAAAACTATGTATATAAATAATAATAATCGTAGAGAAATAAATTGTTCCTTTTTACTATAAATTTTTTTACATAATTTATATAATTTATAACATATACTTCGAATTAATTACTCTTAACGTCTAACTAATTATTACGTTTTAATAATATTAATTAATATAATAAAATTTACATTAATATTTCAAAGCTTTGATAATCATACAGATTTATTTAACGAATTAATGATCTTATGGACGGTTATGTCATTGAAATGCCAGTTATATTTCATTCATGACCGTATAGCTCTTCGCGATGCATGTATATTATATATCTAGAAAAAATTGCATTAACATCATGAAACTAAGAAAACAAAAATATTTTTTCCTATTATTGGATACAAATGATATTCTCGATCTTATATTCTGTATCTTGATCTATATAATCACAGAATAATTTTAATTTTTTTATCATTATATATATTTAATCTGTTAATTTTTTTATATTAGAATTTAATTTCTAAAGTTATATGAAAAAATAGATTATATAGTATTTGCCAGAAGAATATTTAAATACATACATTACATATTACAAAAACTTGTAAGACAAAAAATAACATATAATTAAATTTTATGAAATGGAAAATGTATAGAAAATGCTAAATAGATAAATACGTAGGATACAAAATATTAAAAACCCATTTCTGTTATTAATATTAATTTCAATAATTCACTTTGTTATACTCTTTGTTCAGTATTTATGTTATACCTAAGTTAATATTAGGAAACATCAAGTGACTAGTATTACGTATTATGAACAATAACTCCACAAAATTTATGATATTTGCACAGTTGTATGATTTGTACAGTGCACATGTCAATTGTACAGTTTTTAGAGAGAGGGATATCTAGAACTATATATGTCAGACCTGTAATAGATAGACAGTAAATGACAGTCGACTTTTATCCACGTTCATATGTGTTTCGTTCTGTACTTGCCTATTGTAAGTTCCTTGGAAAAGAATCTTCACATAATGGAAAAGTTATTCCGTCTTTCGGATATAGAATCTTTTCTTTAATGCAATTAGTTTTATTGATTTTTATAATTATCGACTTTTATTCAAATTCAAATGGATATATCGATTACATTGACTTAATAGCAACTGAAGACTTTCTGTTAAAATTTTTTTGCACGTAAACACGTCATTCTATCGTGCATCTATCTATATTATTTTTTAATTGTTGTTTATAATAATTTATTTCTTCTAATAAGCAAGTGTAGCAATTGTTTTTTAATAGTTTTATAGCATATCATAACAATCAATCGTATATTCAAAATATTTTAGTATTCTTCTTCTTATTCAGATATATTGTACACCCAAAAAAAATATTCTGCCGATAAGCGGGGAATTCCTCTTAGCACTTTCTCTAATTGTAAGCAAAAAAATCGTACATAAATCAGGCGCGTGTACTTATAACATAATACGTATTCATCTATAAAAATGAGGAAATATGAGTTATATCTCGTCATTTTTTAAGAAGGAATATGCCAAAATTTTAAATTTACTTCGTTTTCTCTATATGCAATTTTTTTTTCGCTTTTAATAAGTTCGAATAATAATAATTTTCTTCATTACAAATAATAATCTTTAAATACAAGTAACAATCTCTGATTAGTGCATTCTTTTACTAATGTAAAATAAAGTTTAGAGGGCAATTTCAAACAGAAAGTGATCTTGAGTATTATGATAGTATTATAGTAATATAAATCAGTAATATATATAAATCATTTGTATACAACTATCGAAAGATATTTTAAAATATATTATATAATATAAATACTCAAGATCAAGGTCACTTTTCTTCGAATTTTTTCTCTACTAAAGTTTTATTTGTTTATCGTAATATAAACAAATAAAATTAATATTTTTGAAAAATTTTATTGCTATATGATAATTAAAATAAAATTTCTTTTAATAATTCTATTTATACATCAAATACAATAGAGAACGCCAACACGGTCAAAGATGTTTTGAATAATACAATATATTCTTTATTAAATCAATTTATTTCAGATTGAGCGCAGTTAACTGTTTGAATTTTCACAATCAGTCTGAAATCACTGATAATCTTCTCTAAATTAAGTTAAAAAAACAATAAAAAACTTATTGGGAAAAATATTATCTCAGCCAGGATTCGAACGTAGGACTCTCGACTTTTTGTTCTCTATTTATAATTCGATTTATAATTAATTCTATTAATCTTATTATTTTTTAACCGATTTTGATTTCGTGCATAATCATACATAGAATTTGTTTATAATGCAGTGATTTGAATCTAAACTCAGTGACGTTGATCAACCGCGTTCAGGATTTCTCCGATTTGCAAAACCCGAATATTTTTGGTAAAATGGGTGTAAAGGTAAATATAAAAACAGTCTTTTGCACTTACTCCCTAGCAATAGATATAAAGCAAATTTTCATCAATATATTTGAAATTCTTTAAAATTATATATAATGGAGAGTAATATTTAATGCTGAGCAGTTGTTATAATGATCAATCTTCACAGTGCTATGAGCTGAAGTACTTTTCTATCAATGCAGTGGATTTCCGAGTATATACTTAGTGCATTGATGAAAACGCGAGAAAATACATATTGATTAAAGTTAAAATTATCGTCAGTGTATAGACTAACATGAAACATATAGCTTAATTTCAGAAAATAAAATAAGCAATTGAAACAATTTAACTATGCTGTTCACAGAATTTTACTGTGGAAAATGGCGTTTACAAAGGAGAAGAGATGCATCAGTCGACTAAGTATAAGAGCCTTGGAGAATTAATGTGGGTTAGCATTACAAGTCATGAGGATAAAATTGCACATGTGAGTTGACATTTCACGTAATATTAATTTTTGTATTTGCAGGAAGATATAACTTTTAAAGCTTATAATATTTTACTAAAAATGTTTAAAAATGTTTAAAAGCTTTAGAACAATAAAGAGCAATTAAAACTATATTTTTAACTTTAACATTTTTAAAAACATTTGAAAACGTTAACATTTAAAACATAGTATGCTTTGTAGTAGAAATAGTATTATACATATAACAAAAAAAGCAGACTAAACTAGCTATTTCCTTATAGAAAAAAAGGAAACAAAAATTGTCACTTAAGAGCCAACGCAGTTTACGGCAAAGAAATTTTTATTAATATTTAACAAATATGCATATGTATGTTTTGATCAATTATTTAGGTCCTTATCAATGCAAATTACAAATATAAGCTATTGATAATGCATAAATATACCAAATAACAGCGAATGTCTTATAATTATGTATGAACAGCACATGATGTTTTGCCTAATGGTCATCTAATTATTGCAGAAGTCAGAGTTGCGAACAAGAAAAAGTCCATAAATTATAATAGAGTATTATAACAGTGATCGATTTGTTAGATAAACCAATGTATAAACGCCAGTCATATACAATTAAAATGTCTTCCAAACAATGTATCGTCATCTGATAAGTTATCTCATATAACTATCCGAACAATATGAAAAACAAGTGCTGATAGTACTCAGTAATAAATAGCGTTAAATATACATAATGTAATATACAAGATATAAAAAGATGATATAAAAAATTTTTGAAAAATGTAATATAAAAGATATAAAAAATAGCATTGTGTTGAATATACATAATATAATATACAAGAGATGAAATATTGTATATTATATTAATATAATAGCTGAATAATATGCAAATTAAAATTAAATAATGTGAAATATAAAGAATTGAATTATGTCGAAAATGATACAGTGCAAATTTATATCATTAGAAATCGAATAATGGTGTTATACAATATCTTAACTTACATGAGAATGATACGGAGAGATTTTTTAATGCTGCTGTGACAAATGAAAATGATATTAAAGCGAAATAAAATTTCTTAACTATGTCGGTTAAGAATTAAAGCAATAATGACGACGGAAAGACAATATATAAACAAATGTTCTTATACTAATAATAGGATATAACAAAATGATTTTTCTGAAAAAATTTTTTTTTCTGAAAAATATTGTAATTAAAAGAGTAATTTTCATACTATTTGTTTTAGAAAAAAATCAAGTTTAAAATGTAAAAGTATTACTTATGTATAATTATATATAAAATTATGCATAATTGTGTATGAACAATTTTTTATACATTTTCCCAAACTTCTTTTTTTCTAAAATAAACAATACGAAAATTATTCTTTTAATTATTTTCAATGTTTTTACATTACTATTATTATTTCTATTATATTAAAAAGTAATTTTACAGAAGAAAAAGAAATGTATGAACATATAGGACATCTTTTGTATATGATACATGTTTATAAATATTTATGTATATTTATACATATTTACATATTCATACATAAAAAATTTTTCATTCAATTAAAAATCATAATACTTCTATATAATAATTTTTGCAAAAATCTGAATATTTCTTAAGTTTTGATATCCGCTATGTTAATTTTCGTTTCTTAATTAATTTTTTAATTTAAAATTTTACATAATAATAATATTGTATAGTTGGACGCACGTACTGATGAAACGTTTACATACACGGAATTGCAAGATAAAGCTGTGAGATGCGCTTTATGGTTACAAAAGCAAGGAATCAAATGTGGCGACGTTATCAGTGTGTGTACGAGTAATCAACCCAACTCTATAGTACCTTGTATTGCAGCGGCATATGTCAACGCAATCTTTAATCCATGGAACGAAGATATGGATTTACGTAAGATCTCTCGATATTCATATATCAAATATTATATATTATCTTAAACATTTTTACATATTACATTTTGATTACATTTGATTAGATAAGTGTATTTTTAACAAAAATGTGCGCGAATAAAATTTTCTACTTTGCGATAATTAAACATAATTTTTTCTTATTTATTTATTGATTATACAGTAATATTTAACATAATACTTCTTTATTAATTATGAAGTATTTGTTACCAGCAACTGCATTACACGTTTTGCAACTGACTACGCCGAAGGTAATCTTCTGCAGCGAGAAATCTGTGAGTGTCATTTTGAACGCGATGAAAGAAAAAAATTACAATCCTATGGTGGTGGTTTTCGGCAATCATGATAGCGCGATTTCGTTATCCGATATCTTGAGGAATTGTAACAATGCGGAAGCTGCAAATTTCCGCTATGTTGAGCTTGACGATGTCAAGAAAACGGCATGCATCATGCATTCATCGGGCACGACGGGAATGCCGAAGGGCGTTGAATTGTCTAATCACACTATGATACTCATGAAGGACAACAGTACCCTAGATATGACGAATGTACCAACACTTTGGTTCTCATCTCTTTATTGGATCAGCGGAGTATTGCTGAATGTGAAAGCAATTTCGCAGGGTGCCACAGTGATCCTTTATTCACAATTCGATGAGGACATGACTTGCCAATTAATTGAAAAATATAAAGTAATGTTATTTGGCAAAATTTAATTTTTTTTTTATAACTTAATTTATTGCGTAATTAAAATTTAAATATTGTACAATATAACCTAATTTTTAAGATTTTCTGATTTAAAAAATAATGGAAAAACAAATTCTGATCTAAATAACTGCCATATCTTAGTCTGCTGATATAGATTTTTTGCTGCAAAATAATTTTTATAAGTGAATTAATTAATATAGTTTTCTCGTGAATTGTATAACAAAATTGAATCAATTCCTTTTAAACAAATTGTAATATTTTTTATGTATAGTTAAAATAATTCATGATATATAAAAACCTTTTATTATAATAATAATGTTATAAATTTCCTGTCAAAATTGTTCATTGTTTGATGAGACCAATTTATAGGAATGTATCTTTAATAAGGAGTGTACCTTTGTAATATAATATTATATGCATTTATTTTTATTTTATTATTAAGATAAATGTAAATTGCTACTCCAAGGAAATATATTATATTCGTAATTTTTATATCTATTTGTTACATTGCATAATTATATTTAAAAATACACAAAGTATTAAAATTTAAAAATATAACATTTTTATTTATTCAGGTAGCAGTTTTATTTCTTAGCTCGAGTATGATAAATCGATTTGTCAGAGCAGGTTACGTAAAGAATTATTCATTACTATCTTTAAAAGTTATACTAGGTGGTGGTGCAATAATTAAGCCAAAAGTGCAGAAAGAACTAAGACATTATTTACCACACGTTCAGATATTGCAAGGTTATGGTAAATATCGTTAGAATGCGATAAAATATTAATACACTTAAATTTATGTTATGTATGTTGAAAAAATTTGATCAGTTTTCTTGTGTTATTAGGAATGACAGAAGTCGGTGGTCTTGTAACATGTCAATTACCGAATCACAAAGACGGATCTTGTGGGGTAGTAGCTAAGAATGTGCAAATAAAAATTGTGACTCCTGAAAGCGGGAAAGTACTTGATCCAAATCAATCGGGAGAAATATGGATAAAATCTGCAACCATGATGAACGGTTATTATAGGAACCCTGAGGCGACAAAAAGTACAATTGATGAAGAAGGTAAACAGATTTATATGCATTATAATTAATAATAAAAATACAATTTATTATTTCGATCTCAAACGAACATTTTTGTCCATCTTGAAAGTATTATTTTATAACTATTTTAAAGAGTTAATTTTTATTTATTAAAATTATTTACAATTTAAAAAATTAATATTAATTTAAATTATAACATTTATATCATATTATTGATATTCTGCATTTGCAGAAATCAATAATAAGTAAATGCAATAATTAATGTTGTAAAGTATTGTATAAGAACTACAATACAGACAATCCAAGAACTATAATAATTGTTTCTTTATATAAAACATTTTTTGACATCAATCGTTCGTTTTACTTGGAAACTTATGTTTGAAAAATAAAATTAGCATGAGAGTCGAAAGATTAAAAAGAATTAATTATAAGTTAATTAATTAACTAATGCAAACTGAATAAATTCTGTTCCATAAAATCTAAAAATATGTACCTAGTAATAGAAATCTAATACCACGAAAATAAACGTAAAACTCTTTTAGGATGGCTGCATACAGGTGATATCGGTTATATTGATGAAGATGGAGAATTGTTTATTATTGATAGGATAAAGGAACTCATAAAGTACAGAGGATATCAAATCTCACCTGGAGAAATCGAGGGTGTCTTAATATCACATCCAGCAGTGCTAGAAGCTGCAGTAATATCGATACCTCATGCAACAGATGACGAACATCCTCTCGCATATATTACCAAAAAGCCCGGCGCCAAGGTACAATTTTTTATTGCAATATGATAAAGTCATAAAATAAAAATTTACAAAATTAAATTTATCAGTTATATATCTACATTTTTTTTTAACTAATACAAAATGCATCTATTATATACAGTCCAAATAAGAATAATTGCGAACCCATTTTAAGTATTCTAAAGAACATTGTTTAAAAAAATATAGTGAATACAAACTCATATTTATAACGATAAAAACTTATTTTTGCTAACGTTTTACACTGTTGTATATAGCTTTTAAGAAAAAGTGTAATGATTAAATTAGTGTTCTAATATATTGATTAATTATTCAGTAACTGATGATATTTCACCAGCAACTAATGAAATATCATCAGTTGCTAAGTAGTTAATCAGTATATTGAAACACTTTTCTTAAAAGAATAACAATGACATATAAATAATATTAGGTGCTTGAAATGAGCCATTAATATTAATTTTTTTTTCTTATAATATAAATTCTTTAATATTTTTATATTATAAAATAATATAAAATTTTATGTTTTCTTAATTACATTATCAAGATTTTTTTATATTTCTAATCAGAGATTCAAGTACATAAGTTTCTTATTTCAGATAAATAAAGTTATAAATATTAATGTAGATATGTCAGAAAAATATCATTATTTATACGTATATATTATATATTTTTTTAATGCAGAATAAAAAATATTTATTTTTTATATTTAAGTATTTTTTATTGTAATGAATAAATTGTGTTTTTACAGGAAACGGAGCAAGACTTAATAGACTTTGTGGCAAAAAATATGATGGATCACTACAAAC